TCTATTCTTCAATCCAATATCTATCCTATCTTTCATTCCAATATTCTCTTCTCTTCTCTTCTCTTCTCTTCTTCATTCCAATATCCTATCCTATCTTTTATTCCAATAGTCTATTCTATTCTATTCTATTCTTCAATCCAATATCTATCCTATCTTTCATTCCAATATTCTATTCTATTCTATCCTATCCTATCCTATCCTATCCTTTCATTCCAATAGTCTCTTCTCTTCTCTTCTCTTCTCTTCTCTTCTCTTCTCTTCTATACTATTCTCTTCTCTTCTCTTCTCTTCTTCATTCCAATATCCTATCCTATCTTTTATTCCAATAGTCTATTCTATTCTATTCTATTCTTCAATCCAATATCTATCCTATCTTTCATTCCAATATTCTATTCTATTCTATCCTATCCTATCCTATCCTATCCTTTCATTCCAATATTCTCTTCTCTTCTCTTCTCTTCTCTTCTCTTCTCTTCTCTTCTATACTATTCTCTTCTCTTCTCTTCTCTTCTTCATTCCAATATCCTATCCTATCCTATCCTATCCAATCTTTCATTCCAATATTCTATTCTATCCTATCCTACCCTTTCATTCCAATATTCTATTCTATTCTATTCTTCATTCCAATATCTATCCTATCTTTCATTCCAATATTCTATTCTATTCTATTCTATCCTATCCTTTCATTCCAATAGTCTCTTCTCTTCTCTTCTCTACTATTCTCTTCTCTTCTTCTTCCAATATCCTATCCTATCCTATCCTATCCAATCTTTCATTCCAATATTCTATTCTATCCTATCCTATCCTATCCTATCCTACCCTTTCATTCCACTATTCTATTCTATTCTATTCTTCATTCCAATATCCTATCCTATCCTATCTTTCATTCCAATAGTCTACTCTATTCTATTCTATTATGTGTGGACTTCAACTCCCAGAATTCCCCAGCTAAGCCCAAACCTTCCACTATGGCCTTTTCACCCACCACGAGAACTCCATCTTAGCCAGATTCCTATGATTTCGTGAATCGTTCACATGCTTCATCCCAAAACTCGCAGAACCAACAGGTTTTGAGAGTTGCCTGAGCTAAAACGCTGGAGGCATTACCTGAGATAAACCAGGTCTGGTTTTTCTCTGGTTAGCCCCTGACCTTCTACCGCCATGCAAATGCCCTCCGTGGGGATTTTCCCATGAGTCAACTTAGCCAGCTGGCGTGTAACCCAAAACCGGAACAGCGGGCACCGCGTGGGATATTAGCTGTGAAGCTGACGCGGGTGAAACGCTTGTTGCTGAAGGATCTCTCGTCATCTGGAGGTCACATTCTGAACACCGAGTCCTGAAATACGGCGCTGACAGTTCTGAGAAGGGGGGAGAAAAAAAGGAAATAGCTTGAGCGATGCCAAGAGAATCCATGAAGCATGATATCGAGAGGGTCAGCAGTTCATTGGCAGCGAGGTCGGCTTCTCCGAAATATTAGGCCTTCTGATAAATTGGCAGCATCGAAGGAATCCATCCTGCTATATGAAAGACCTCAATGCTGAATGTACAGGAAAGTAAACATTGGGGCCGATTCGGTCATGTATCATGCTGGCTTTCACTCGAGGGTCAAGGCAAGGAAATGGACAGCATTATAAATCAGATGTGGGATGTGCGGTAGCTCAGTGACTAAGACGCTGCGTTCGTTGATCAGAAAGTTTGGCAGTTCTGCGGTTCGAATCCCTAGCGCTGCATAATGGAGTGAGCTCCCGTGACTTGTCCCAGCTTTTGCCAACCTAGCAGTTCGAAAGCACATAAAAATGCAAGTAGAAAAATAGGAACCGCCTTTAGTGGGAAGGGAACAGCGTTCCATCCGCCTTCGGCATTTAATCAAGCCAGCCACATGACCACGGAGACATATTCTGACAGTGCTGGCTCTTTGGCTTTGAAACGGAGATGAGCACCGTCCCCTAGAGTCAGGAACAACTAGCACATATGTGCAAGGGGAACCTTTACTTTTAAGGTTGGAGCTGTTTGAATCTCTAGGGAGACTCCACCATGAATCCTCACCGATAGTGTACATATAAATAATAATCATATCATAATAGTACAATTAAAAGGGACTCAGTGGCTAAGATGCTGAGCTTGTCGATCAGAAAGGTCAGCAGTTCGGCGATTCGAATCCCTAGCACCGCGTAACGG